ACTGTGTTTTTATTAAGAAAATCGTTGATGATAATTTTATTATTCTCCTACTATATGTTGATCATATGCTAATTGTTGGTGCTGATAACAAAAAGATTAGCAAACTCAACAAGGAGTTGAATAAATCATTTGTCATGAAAGATTTAGGACTAGTGAAACAAATTCTTGGCATGAAAATTTTTCGTGATAGAAAACTTAAAAAGTTGTGGTTGTCATATGAAAAATATATTGAGAAGGTACTTGAGAGGTTCCGCATGGACGAAGCAAAGCTAGTAGGTGTTCCGCTTGACAATCACTTCAAGCTCAGTTCCTGTTAAGAAACCTTCTAGATTTGTATCTAACAACCTTGTTGACAAACAAATCCTTTAGATCACAAACTCAAAAACCTCGAAAACGATTATCGAATCAACACAAGGAAAGTAAAAACTAGATTACCTTGTTGATCAATTATCCCAAGGCAATAAAACACATTCTTGGTTTGAGATACGAATCACTCCACAAGCAAGATAGATCAAGTCTTACTTTAATCATCCTAAACATGCAAACTATCACAAGATTGCAAAATACATTAGCTTTTGGCTAAAAAGAAAGGCTCAAAGGCTCAAAGGCTCAAAGGCTCATTTCATTACATCTCAATTCTATATTCTCAAAGATGACATACATGGCTATATATAGCCTTCAAAATTGTTCTTAAAAGTAACATATGGGCATGTGAAGGGTTGGAACACTTAAGTCAATGAATGCCATAAACAACCATTAACTAATTGTAACCTAAAAAGTAAATGAAAAGTATTAAAACTTAAGATACTTAAAAATACACCATAAATCCGAAAATTAAATATTGAATCAGCAAACCAAGAGTTTTGTAACCATAAAGGATTAAATGAAGCCTCATTTAATGTAGCATTGAAATATATCATTGATGCTTTTTGTCTTGAATGAAGCTTGAGTTGACTTGTATTTGATTTGAATATATTGGAGATTCATATTATTCTCTCCCTCTTGGAAAGGATACGTCCTCGAATCTAAATGATCTCCTTGTAAAGCAACCTTGTAGTCATCATCTCGAGCTTGATCAACCACTTTCACATGACTATTAATTTGTACGATAAGGGTGCAAGTTCCTAGAAATGGAAACCATGCAATTGAATCTCAAATTCCATATCTAAATCTCCAATACACTCGACCATGATTCAATGGTATTTGATTCTCCAAGTGTTTAGAAGCAATGGGTGAATGTTGCTTCTCAATGTTGCCTAGATCTCCCTTTCGCAGTGGTTGTAACGAGCCATTAAAAACACTAGGAAAACAATGGATTTGCTTAAATTGAAAACAAACCTTGTTTTCCTTGCTCTCATTTCTTTTCGTAATATCCTTTGTTTCAACCTCCTTCTCAACAAGTACCTCCGTCTCAAAAAGTACCTCCTCTTTGTATCCTCATCATGCATAAAAACTTCAATATTCAAATCAGTTCCAAACAGAGCCCTTCAAATAATGAAAAAGAGAAGGAAGACATGAGTAGCGTTCCATACTCCTCGGCCGTTGGAAGCTTGATGTATGCAATGGTTTGTACCACGTCAGATATAGCTCATGCAGTTGGTGTTGTCAGTCGATTTCTCTCCAATATAGGTAGAGAACATTGGGAAGCAGTGAAATACGTTTTCAGATATCTCAGAGGTACTTCCATAGTATGTTTACAGTTTGGGAGTGGCAAAACTGTGATACATGGGTTACAGATTCAGATATGGCCGATGATGTTGATTTCAGAAAATCCACTCGAGGTATCTGATTACTTTTGCAAGGGGAGCTATATCATGGCAGTCCAAGTTGTAGAAGTGTGTTGCTCTTTCAAGTACAGAAGTTGAGTTTATAGTAGTAACTGAAGTTTGTAAAGAAATGCTTTGGATGAAGAAGTTTTTGCAAGAGTTAGGCATTAAACAAGAGAAATTCATGTTGTACTACGATAGTCAAAGTGTTATTCATTTTAGTAAGAATCCAACTTTCCACTTGAAGTCCAAGCATATTGATGTCAGGTATCATTGGATTTGAGACGTGTTGAATGAAAAATTGTTAGAGATCGAAAAGATACACACAGATGATAATGGTTTGGATATGATGACAAAGACCTTACCTAGAGGAAAGCATGAAGCATGCAGACTGATAGCAGGTATGGTTGACCCTTCTGCATAGTTGGGAGGGGGAGTTTGTTACATCCCGACATCTTAAAAGGCCTAATTTACTTAAGCTCATTACTTGTGGATAAGTATTAACTTATTTAAAAGAAAAGAGAAAAAAAAAGGCAAAGCTCTTGATTGATCAACGCGAGTGAACTGTGCTTAGACGCTTCGTAAAACCGCACCGATCTATGAGAGGAGCTGATGGATGAGTAGGCTTCCCCTTTCGATTCACGGAATGTGATTTGGGACTACTAGGTAATCTAGTATCCTTGTGCATGAAGATAATCAATTTGGTCGTTGTGGTCGGACTCAAAATATAGAAATATGTGAACCTTGCTGGGCAAGCTTTGTATAATGTGTGGTGTGTGCCAGTGGATCTCAGCTGAACAAAAAAAGGGAATGGTGCTTCTGTGGGTGTGCATGAAGAAGGTAACAGAGAGAGAACTTTCATTGTTGAGGAAAATTGTGCAAGAGCCAAAGAAGAAGAAGAAGCGGGGTTGTTTTCTTTGCCGGTTCGTTGTTGATTCAGTTTGCTCCTCTTTCGTTTGGGTTTCTTCGTGTCGTCTTCACTAGTAAGACCTCTCCTTGCTTTTTTTATTCCGTCTTTGGTAGATGAAGGTATTTTGTGTACCGATTGTTAGCCAGACTCTCGTTTGATGTATTTTGTTGTATCCTCTGATTGTGACCAGGGAATAAACCTTGTGTAACCTATTTTATAGTGGATGATTTTAGGAGTCCTCCCGTGGTTTTTCTTCTTACACTGAGGGGTTTCCACGTAAATCTTGGTGCCTCTATTTTTCTTCTTGTATGCTTGTGATTTTATTTCTTGCAGAAAGTTGTCGGCTACATTTAAAATCCCAATAAATAGAATATGCTATTGTGTGTTGTGGATCACTTGCATTTCGCGCCATTAGATAAAAGTGAGATAAGATAGTAAAAATCCCTTTCTAAAATTAAATTATTTAATTTGTCTAAGTACCGAACCAACCTTAAATTCTAAGTGAACCAAAATTAGAACTCTATAGGAAGAAAAATTCAAGAATCCAAATTAGTAGGATAGGAGAAGAATCTTAAACTTCAAAATGATGTAGCATGAGAACCAGAACCCAGAACATTACATATTTACTTCGATGATCGACAACAAGAGTAAATAAAACTTGTTTTTAAAATCAGGATTCCAATCACTCCACAAGTTAGCTTGAAAAAAACCAATTGTAACCCATTTGGTCATGTTCCCGTTTCTTGTTATTCTTTTTCAAATTTTATTAAGAAACTTAAGTATTTTGCAACTTTGTGTTTCTTGTTGCTCATTTTTCTGGAAAATTTTATAGAAATTTTGGAAACAATAAAAAAAAGTTTCTTATTTTTTCTTTTCGTTACCAAATTTGTTACAATACATACATATAAATATTGTTTGATCATCATTGAATCCATGGATTTTTGACCATACAATTCTATTTTTCTTTATTAAAAATGAAGAAATAGAAACAAGAAACGAGAATGTTACCAAACGAGCTATTGAAATTATTCTAGTATGCAATTCTAAAACACAAGAAATGCAAAGAAAAAGTTGATGGCTATAGCTCAAATTTTCATACATCTCAAAACTCAATTATCAAAGGTGACATACATAATATATAGCCTCCAAAATAATCCTTAAAGTAACCTACGGTCAATTGAAGAGTTGGAACACTCAAGTCCATCAATGTATGAACATACATTAACTAATTGTAACATAAAAGGTAAATGGAATGTCTTAAAATTCAAAATATGTGAAAATGTACTATAAATTTGAGAACGATAGTTTTTAACCATCCAACCAAGAACTTGTAAACCATCCAAGATTGAATGAAGCTCCAACTCGATGTAGCTTCAACTTGAGTTCCATCTATAATTGATGCTTAATTCACTTGTCTTGAATTGAAACTTGAGTTGCAGTTAAGTTCATTGGCACATGTAAGCATTTTGATTCATATCAACATTTATAACAGACACCTTTTATTTTCTTCTCCAAAGATTAATTATCTTTGTTGATAAAATAAAAATTTCGCCAGTAAAAGGTTCTCCTAATGTGGTTATCGCGATAGTTTTGCCAACGAAAAATAGTCATCATGAAAGGTTTTTGGCAATGAGTTTTTAAGTAGGGTGACGAATATAGTTGCATCAGTAAAAATTTTATTCATTGGTACAGTGTAAAGAAAAATTGTCAAAAAATCTTTTTTTTTTTTTTAAGAATAGAAAACAAGAAACAACACAAACGTCCGGATAGCTCCCGACGCTTTTAAAAAACGTCCGGATAGATCTCGACGTTTTGATTTTTTTTGTCAGCATGGAGTTTTGGACAGAGCCCTTTCCGGACGAAAAAAAAGTTGGGAAAACTTTTGCCGATGTCTCTATAGACTTTTGCGGACGATTTTTTTTTTTGGTTTGGAAAAACGTGATTTCTTGCCGTGTAACAGCACAAAACGAAAGTTAATGGGAAGAGTGAGGAAAAGAGATTAAAATGCGAAATAGGGTAAAGGGAAGAGGAATTCAAATGTAATTTGACATAGTTACAATTTATTGCATAAAATAAATGAATGATGTGTGGTAGTGAAGAGTTAGTTGTTATTAGTGGTTTTGAGTTGCAGAATGGTGGAAGCGAGTTTAGGGTGTAGGGCGAGGGACAGAAACCCACGAAGAGGTGAGTGCACACGTGCCAGTTTACACATGTCAAATCTGCGTCCTGGCCGTCGAAATGGAAATATACCATATATATAAATTATAAGCAAAGCAATGACGTACAGAACTCAGATTCTTCCTCTTCAATAGCGTTTAATGGGTTCATAAATAACACTCTCACCATCTTCTGCTCTGCTCTGCGTCTCTCTCTCTCTCCAGCTTCGTCTTCATTACGGGATGGTTTGTGCGATGAGTGAAAGATTTTGTAATGCTTTGCCCACCATTGTTATGGTGTTTGTTCAGTTCGGTTTTGCCGGAGTTAACATTTTCTACAAATTGGCAGCCAACAATGGCATGAGTTTGACCATTATTATTGCTTATCGTTTGTTGTTTGCCTCCGCTTTCATTGTTCCCATCGCCTTCTTCCACGAAAGGTTTCATTTCCCCGCCCTCAGCTCAGCTCCTTTTTATTTTTATTTCTTTTCCATTAATTATCTCACAATTATTCAATTTTTCATGCATTCATTGGTTGCAGAGGCAGAAGGCCAAAGCTCACTTGGTCCGTTCTCTTCTACGCTTTTCTCTCTGGACTCTTTGGGTAAGCAACCCGCCTATTATATTAGTTAATTAATTAATTAATTCTTCATTTCTTCAAAATTGAGAGAGATAAAATAAAATAAACAATTCTAAATTTTTTGTAATATAAACACTTAAATTTTATGGTTTACGATGGAAAGGGAAAGTGAAATGTTATTGAGATGAGAGATGTTCCATGACTGCAATCACGCTCGATATATGGAGCAGTTGTTGAAGTTACAGTTGGCCGTCAATTTAATTACATTAGCGACTTCGATCTTGTGATACCCTTCTAGATTAATCCAAAAGTAATAATACAACAAATTTTTATATGCTTTGCCAATAAAATAAAATAATCTCACAGATTTAATGTTTTAATGTTCTAATATTTATGATTGCATTGAGTTGGTGCAGGGGATCGTTGACTCAAAATTTATACGTCCAGAGCTTGGCCTTGACTTCAGCGACCTTCGCTTCAGCCATCGGCAACCTTACTCCAGCCATCACTTTCATTCTGGCCATCTCGTTCAGGTTAATTTTATAAATAATTTAAGATAATACTTACTCATTAAACGGTGAAGGTAAGATTTGGTCCTCACTATTATTTTAATTGACAACCCACTTTATCCTTAAAAAAAAATAGAAAAATACTTATTACTTAACCATGAAAACCAAATCATTAAAGAATTAACAATTCATTAATTTTTATAAAAAATAATTGTTATTGTATTTTTCTCTTCTAGTTGTCCAACATTTAAAAAGGAGTAAGGGACAAGTATTTTTCAATAATTTACTTTTTCTTAATATAGTTTATAGTATTATAAGATTTATATATTTTTTTTGGTCAGGTTGGAGAGGATGAACATAAGAACAATGGGAGGGAAGGCTAAGGTGGTGGGAACATTAATAGGAATAGGTGGGGCCATGCTGCTCACATTCTACAAAGGCGTGGAGCTGAAACTTTGGTCAACCCACGTTGACCTTTTGCATGAAAGTCATCACTCAGGGGGACACGTGGCAGCACCAGACCACAGCATCAGCGATCAGCTGTTGGGGGGTCTGTTGGGCGTTGGAGCCTGCCTCACGTATGCTTTATGGCTGATTGTGCAGGTGAGCTGCCGCCTGGTCACGTGCCGTGCATGGCTATATATTTTATATATATGCGAATTTCCATATCTATCCCTTGTTCCATTTTTGTTAACGATTGCAGCGGTTTGATGTTCATAGGCGAAAATGAGTGAATACTATCCGTGCCATTACTCAAGTACGGCGTTGATGAGTTTGATGGGATCCTTCCAGGCCGTTGGATTTGCATTCTGCGTGGAGAGGCGATGGAGTGAGTGGAAATTGGGGTGGAATATCAGGCTTCTCTCTGTCGCATATTCCGTAATTTTCCATCCACCTTTTTATTATTATTGTTTTTTATCCCTGAATTAAAGGATTTTTGTTGTGGATTTGTGTACGAACTACTTTGCGTCTAAGCCAAAACAATTCCTACGGATAGAGAAATTTTGCATATTAACTTTTCGTAGGTGTAAATATTTCAATTCTAAAAATTTAAAGGGGCAGCGTAGGAAAAAATTACAAAATTTTAAGTATTTTACATAGATTTTTTAAATTACGAGAAATTAGAAGGACAATTACTCTGCTCTGTATATAACACATAGTTTAAATCTTCTTGGTAGTCTCTTTTTCATCTTGGACTTCATATTTTCAATTTTCTTCCTTTTGATTTATATAATTGACATATCTATATATGAATTAAATTTATCTAATCTCGTTAACTAAATTTATCTAATCTCATTAACTTAGATTTTAGATTTTCAGATTTAATGTTGGCTTATTCTCCCATTTATAATGATTTTCACTTGCAACTCATTAGTTTAAACTTTTGTGTGGTAATATGACGAATGTTTGGTGTGCACGTTGTAGGGGGTTGTGGCTTCGGGAGCCATGGTAACGCTAATCTCGTGGTGCGTACGCATGAGAGGCCCTTTATTTGTATCAGCTTTCAGCCCTCTCATTATGGTGCTCGTAGCCATAGCTGGCTCCTTGTTTCTGGAAGAAAAGCTATATTTAGAATGGTATTATTTTTCCCCTTTTCTTTGTTCCTCTTATAACACAGACACACATCGTTTTTTTTTAATTAAAAAAAGAAAAGAAAAGAAAGGAATTAGGGAGATTCACACCATTAGAAACCCAATATATCTTCAATTGACAGAAAAAAAGGATGGTCCAATTAATAAAACGGAATCCGTATAAGAAACTTTATAACATAATTTATAATTTAAGTTTCTGTCTAATCAAAGTAATAACTAAGAGCTCCATACTCTTGTTTTTATTTGAAAAAAAAAACAATTAAAGTAGTTCTAAAAATTTGTTATTCGAAGATATGGATAGACAAAACTATTTGATTATTGTGATTAGAAATACCTATTTTTAGAAAAAATAAAATAAAATTTAAAAAAGGACTTGTTTAAGTGGTGAAGTGTTCAAATTTGATCATATTGGTGGGCAAGTGGATGAGACAAGTAAATGTGGAGTTAAAAATCAAAATTGGATAATCAATTAACAAATTTGTATCTCATCGTGCGATATAAACTAATTTTATAATGATTGTGTTTACTTATCTTAGTCAAATTGTACTTCTCATCCTTTTACTGAAACAATGAATTTATTTTTCTCCTTTTAGAAGTTTTAACTTTTTAATACTATAATATAATTTATTTATTCTAATGATATACTATCATATTAATTTATATTTTAATTATTAAACTAAATTGATGATTAATTTTAATATTCATCGACTATTTTTACCAATTAAATGTCTTCGATCTCATTTTTTTGTTATATTTATAAATATTAACAGCTTGCTTGGTGGATTGTTGATCATATGTGGGTTATACATAGTGCTATGGGGCAAAAGCCAAGAGATGAAGAAGATTACGCAATTGACCCCCACCGAAAGCATTGAGCCCCAACACGAGAGGATAGACTTGGTCATTTCATCTCCAATTCCATTGCCTAAAATTGGAAGTGATGTTCGTGATTCCAACAACAGTAACTACAACACCCATTAAGAAAGTGTGTTAGAGATGCTTTTTTTAAAGTGATTGTAGAAAACTATACTTGTTTTATGAAAATTGGTAGTTTCGGTTAAAATTTTAAATAGTGCTTATAAAACCAATTAGAAATACCTTTTAAAACTTTCAATAACCAAAATAGTTCGAAAATTTCTAAGAAGAGATTAAAAAAACACTTAAATTGGTTTTAGTCCAACCATTTAATTAGTTTCTTTCCAAAATTTTACGTAATAAACACTTTCACTTTAAAATACTTTTTTTCACAGAGCATCTCAAACAAACTCACTTTTAGAAAATATAAATTCATGCTATAAATTCTTTCATGCAAGACTCACTTAGACGGATCTAATAAAAGAATCTCCTTTTTCTTTTTCTTTCTTTATTTTTCTTGATATCAAAACAAAGCGTTGGGTATTGATAAAATATATATTAGTAGAATACGATGCGAACGAGAGAAAGTGGAATTGCTAGTTAATTGGGAAATGGATGCGTATAGTAAGTTCTTTCTTTGTATTAATAGCAAAAGTGTGCATATATTTTGTGAAAGAATGTGGTGCAAATTTTAGTAAAGTTGTCTCTCCCATATTTCGATGGATTTATTACAACAAAACGCTCCAACTTTAACTTTTCATGCGGTTCCATATATTGGCTGTCAATTCGATGGGGAATCTCACTTGTGTTAGTGTTTTGCTTTTGTACAAATGTAACACTTTTAGAAATGAATTTATTGGGCTAAGTGCAAACATTTGAAAAAGTCTCTCAATTCTTTTTGGACTTTTTAATGTCACATTATGTTGTGAGTGGTAGGAAATAATAAAAAACCTCGAAAAATGAGATCATTAAGTTTGGTTTAAACTTTGGTTGAGAAATCTATACATGCATTGATTTTTTTAAAAAAAGAAAAAGAAAAAAAAACCATTAATTCGTGTGTAGGCACAAGTTAATGAAGACAGTAAATTATCACAAATTTTCAAGGTTAACCATGAATTTTCAATCAAAAAGTTCTCTCAAACCTGACGGTAAAAGTCATTTTATATTCAATGGGAAAATTAGTCCTACTATAGTTGGGAAGATTTCTATACTACTGTCATTCACACTATCTCATGTGTAGTGGACCCTACGTAATTTTAAAATGAAAAAAACACACGTACTATTCTTTCTCCCTCTTAAAATACATCCACCATCCTTCGACTCTCTCTCTTAAAATACATTTTATCTCCTTTATTCTCTCTCTCTTAAAATACATTTTATCTCCTTTATTCTTATTTATATTTTTTAGAAAAAGACTTTTATCTTCCTTTTTTCTTTCCTTTCTTCATCTTATATCATTTTTATTTAAATATTTTTACAACAACTTCACATTTCTTTCTACATCTCGATTTATTTGTAGATTTTTATCTCTTCAAACTAAATCTACTCGTTTTTTTCGTTTAACTAATATTTGTAGTTCAAAGTTCGTTATTGATATTTTCTTTTTATTTAGAAATTTATTTTAAAATAATAAAATAATTATATTTTCTTATCTAATGGATATTGTAATTTGATTTTATTGGTGTATTTTGATATGTTATTTTATTGTTAACTTGTTTTGTCGGTTTAATCAATATTATAATTAGATTTTATTTGTTATCCATTTATATATATATTCTTTTTTATTGGTAACTTTATTTAAAAATAATTAAATAATTTTTTGTTTAATTTGAAGTTTATAATTAAATTTTATTTTTTATCTATGCATCATAATGGTAAGCATCCTAATATAAAAACAAAAATCTAAAAATTAGATATTTTTTTTAGTAAAAGAATTAGATATTTAACAAAATTATAATTTTTTAAGAGAGAAAATCTACAAATAAAAATATTCAAATAAAAATGTGGGGTCCACTTTTTTTATTGAAAATATAAACCACAATCGATGAGAGAGAATGTAATTTATGGGAAATTTGAATATATGACACGTCCCATTGATCGTTTTAGATTTATGACTCTTTTGAAAAAAAAAACTAATTTGTGACCCATTTTCCTTATTTTTTTACCCCTTTCATAATTTTTAAATGTTAAATTTGTGTAGTACCCTGATGTTTTAAAATCAATAATCCAGTTAAAAAAAAACAAATTTTATTTTCAATCTTTATTAACTTGAAAAATCAATTATCAGGAAAAAAATCTAACTCAAATAGTTAATTAAAATTTAATTATGGAAAAAGTCAATTAAAAAGAGTTGAAATTACAAAATGAAATATTCAATATTCAATTGTTTAATATGGAAAATCGAATGTACATAATTACATCAGATTTGTCTGAATTTAATTACAAAAAAAATCAAGATTTCATAAATCTCGGGCCAATATTGCATTAAATGCCCGAGATTTAGTTGACAACAAGAGGGCTAAGATCGGAGAGAAGGCAAAAAAAAAGAAAAAAAAACTGCACTGGTGTGGATCTCGACAACAAGAGGGCTAAGATCAGAGAGAAGGCAAAACAAAAAAGAAAAAAATAACTGCACTGGTGTGGTCCGGGATCCACACCATTCCATTTTTTTTCTTTCTGTCTTCTCTCCCATCTTGCCCCTCTTTGTTGTCAATTAAATCTCGACCATTTAATGCAATATTAGCCCGAAATTTATGAAAATTTTTACTTTTTTTTTATTAAATTCGGATAAATCTTATACATTTATTATTAAGTCATAAATAAATAGGATATTTTGATAATTTTACAAAATAAAAAAGTGGAAAAGAGTCACAAATTAGAATGGAGGGGTTACACATAACATTTTTTAAAAAGGAGTCATAAATCCGAAATGATTTATGGGAGGGGTCAAATATCCCAATTTACCATAATTTATGAAGGAGAGAGAATGATAGGTAGGTTTTTTTTTTATTTTAAAATCATGTGGGGTCCACCTTATTTTATTTCTAAAATAAGATTACACATGTCATATTGTGAATGGGAGTAGTATAGAAATCTCCCCTACTACGGTAGGATCGGAAAATCTCCTATATTTGATGGTTGTTCGTGCAACTCCAGTTCCAAAGCTTGTTTATGTTCACTAGTAGTGGGTCGGTTGGGTCGGGTTAATTATGAAAGCATACGGTTCGGGTCAATTTGAACATAACATATCAATTTTCTACTCTATAGTTTATCCAACCTTGTGCCGTCTTTGAGGCGGCTCAAGATGATATGAGGCCTTGGGAAAAACTTTATTAGGGGCTTTAATATAAAATATATCAAGATTCGTAAATAATCATTCTTGTTAATACCTTATTTAAATGTTCTTTTTCTTTGTTAATTCATTTTTTAATTGTTTTAATTTTTAGGGTTATTGCATTGGATAGCAAATAAGTTTTATATATTTAACAATATAGCAACCGTTTATCACAATTTCAAATATAGCAAATTTTTTAGAACTCTGATTTTGAATATTTTAATATTCCTAAATTACCCTTTCCAAATCTCGCGTGAAATTCTTTATCGTTCACAACTTTTATTTCCTCTATCAATTCTTCATCAATCTCCTTGTTCATAGTTTGATTACTTAGATTAATCTCCATTAGGCCTTCAGGTATTACTTCTTCTTCTTCTTTCGATACTAGCTTCAGATTTATTTAAATTTAGCTTCAGATTCATTGATTTGAGCTTCAGTTTTCAGAGTTCGTTTACTTCTTCTTCTTCGATTTCCTGCATGTTTGATTTTGAACCAATTTTTGTTCGTATTTTTACCAGACTTTTGATGTGATGAAATTGATAGAGATCATTTACTTCTACTTTACCAGATCAGATTTTGTTCGATTTGAGCTTTAGATTCATAGTTCTTTATTTCTTCTTCTTTGATTTTCTGCATGTATATATTTTTACCAGATTTTTGATATGATGAAATTGATAAAGATCTAATAGAGGAATTGTTATATTCAATAATTGAGAGGATTCTTGAATTGTTAGAACTGTCAGATTTTGGAATTGTCAGAAATTGTAATATTACTTTACGTTCGAATTCACTTCTCAATTTATCTTCAATTTCACTTTTCTACATCAATGTATTAATTGCTGATACACCCTTGTTTAACACTCCACCACACTATAGCTCCTCCATTAAGAGTGAATATTGATCCTTACGTGGATTTCTGAGAATCCTTGTCAGTCTGAAAAGTATAGTTATTGTACCCGGTGAGGATCAAATCTTAGCGTCGTACACAAGCATGTAGTCCCTCGTTTATCGAAGGTACTTGAGGATTGTTTTGACTGCAGTCCAATGTGCAAGTCCTGGATTGGCTGATATCTACTGACAATCCCTACTGCATAGCATATGTAAGACATAGTACACAATATGGCGTACATAAGATTGCCCACAGCTGACGCATAGGGAATACGTCTCATATCCTCAACCTCTTGCGGTGTCTTAGGACACTGTTCCTTAGACAACATAATCCCATGTCTCAAAGGCAGTAGCCCTTTATTGGAATTCTGCATTGAATATCTGACTAGTATTTTGTCAATATACGATGCTTGAGACATATCTAGCGTTTTGTTCTTGCGATTCCTAAATATTTGAATCCCAATAACAAACTGTACTTCTCTCATATCTTTCATTTGGAATTGTGTTGCCAGCCAGTTTTTAATGTCGGTGAGAAAACTTACATCATTCCCAATGAGTAGGATGTCATCAACGTATAAAACTAGGAAAGCTACAGTACTATTGACGACTTTCTTGTAAACACAAGGTTCCTAAACATTTTGGTCAAAGCCATAAGATTTAACCAAAGTGTCAAACCTTATGTTCCAAGATCTCGAAGCTTGTTTCAATCCATAAATTGATCTCTTAAGCTTACAAACTTTTTGCTCTTGACCCTGTTCTATGAATCATTCTAGTTGAGCCATGTAAATGCTCTCATCAAGCAAAAAAGCTTTCTTGACGTCCATTCACCATATCTCATAGTCATAATATGTGGCAATGGCTAAGAGAATGCAGATAGACTTCAACATGGCAACATGGGAGAAAGTTTCTTCATAATCAACTCCATCTTGCTCGGTATAACCCTTTGTCACGAGTCTAGCTTTAAAGGTCTGAACATTTCCATTGAAATCTCT